CATTAAGTGCATTCACACTCACTTCCAGGACTATTTGATCCTGCAGAACTGAAACTATCGTTAAACTATAACTCCCCATTCTCCCTCCCTCCAGCCCCTGGCAACCACCCCCTACTTTCTGTCTCTATGAATTTGACTAGATACCTCATGTGAGTAGAATCCTACAAGAGTTGCTTTTTGTGTGACTGGTTTATTTCACTTCCCATAATGTCCTTAAAGTAAATCCATGTGTCAATTTCCTTCCTTCCCTTCAAATCTATATATATCCATATATATTGATTTCAGAGAGGAAAAAAGGAAGAGAGAAACATCAATGGTGAGAGAGAATCATTGATGGGCTGCCTCCTGCACGCCCCCTACTGGGGGTCGAGCCCGCAACCTGAGCATGTGCCCTGACCGGGAATTCAACCGTCACTAGGTTCACAGGTCGACGCTCCACCGCTGAGCCCCTCGGCCGGGCCTCTGAGTATGTGATGCAGTAGGAGTTGCCCGTGTAATTTTCTTCACAAATACGTTCGCTCATCAATGAGTTCAGAGACTGCCCGCCTTACTCTGCATCCCTATCCTCGCAGACAACGCCTGGTGTTGGAAGATGCTCCAGTAACAGCAATCCATGGAACGAATGAGCAAATCTATGAGTGAATGAAGGAGATAATCTATTATCACTTCTACCTTTCCTGATGTATGAAGTTCTTATGTGTTATGGACTGGAGTATCTTAGTTGCTATTAAATGCTCACGTGTATTTTAATCCTCACCAGTGACAGTTCAATAAGTTTTGGGTTTTTGTTTTATTTTTATTTTTTTATATTTTTATTGATTTTTTACAGAGAGTAAGGAGAGGGATAGAGAGAAACACCAATGAGAGAGAAACGTTGATCAGCTGCCTCCTGCACACTCCCCACTGGGGATGTGCCCGCAACCCAGGTACATGCCCTCGACCAGAATCGAACCTGGGTCCCTTCAGTCCGCAGGCCGACGCTCTATCCACTGAGCCAAACCGGTTTCGGCAAGTTTTGGTTTTTTAAAAATGAATGCACAAATTGGAACTCAAGGATAAGAATCGAGAAGCAACCAAACAGGTCCAGGACGCTGTAGGCTACAATGGCCACGAGGGGGAGGCAGAACCTTTCAAAGAGCAGCAAGAGACAGGAAAACCCATCCAGCTCGGAGGTTCTGGTCTGCTCTCCGCTCTGCCAGCAGAGCTCGCTGCACCTATGTCGCTATTGCCGCTGCACGGTAACAGCCAGCTCCAGGACAAGCTGGGACAAGATCAAGAAAATTCCCTCACCCCCAGCTCAGGCCGTTCACGTGTCCTTTATACACTCCCCTCAGCTTTAAAAATTCCATATAAACGGAAGAAAAATATTTCCCCGGTGGATGACAATCGAATCTATTAAAAATTCACCTGGAAAAAAAGCAAAACTGTAAGCTCAAGAATGAAAACATTAATTTTTAAAGCTGGGTGCAATTATCTTCTGCCTCCAGCAACGTTTCTGTAAAAGAACTGTTGACATATTCAATTTCATCTCCCCGAGTAAAGACGCCTCAGGCATGTGCCAGCTAGCTGGGGAGTCACGGCCGGGAGAGTTACGGTCCTACTGGTCCAGTTTCAAAGGCTTCGTATGCAGCCGAGTGCAGTGAGAAAAACATTCCCCACAAACTCCTCTCAAAAGATCAGAATAACCCCATCAATATTTCCAGGACCATGATAAGCCCCAGATGTTATCAGGGGCGGGATCGTGCAAACTTTAAAAGCCCCAGTCCACGAATGACGCTGCTTCAGAAATAGAGTTTAGAGCATTTGGAGGGAAGACAGTTTCCCTCTGGAACGCTGAGGCATGGCCATGCCTTACTTCCATAGACAAGCTATAGGCCCTGGCTGGTTTGTCTCAGCGGTTAGAGCGTCGGCCTACGGACCAAAGGGTCTCGGGTTTGATTCCGGGCACATACCTGGGTTGCAGGCTCGATCCCTGGCACCGATTGGGGCGTGTGGGTCAAGGGCATGTGTGGGAGGCAACCAATCGATGTGTGTCTCCCACATTGATGCGTCTCTCCTCCCTCCCCTCCATGCTCTCAAAAATAAAATAAAATAAAAAGCTATCGGCTCCACTGGTTTCCTGCAGGACATGGTAGGAAACCTCCAAAATCACGCTCAGGAATAAAGGGACAAAGGATAGAGCCCAAAGACCAGAACAAGTCAAGAAAGCAACTCTAAGAATAAGTGGCTGAATAAAAACTAAAACCACATTAGGTGGCCTGGTGGTTCCGGGAGACAGAGCTGGGGGCTGGGGAGGCTGGGAACCAGCGCTGACTTCACAGGCAGTGAAAGACCATAACTTATCAATCTTTTTAATTTGAGAGCTTCCATAATCTAATTACACCCTAATTATAATGACTCCCCTTCTTTCTTCAAGGGGCTCTTGCGTGCTTCTGGAATAGTCTCTGTCAGAGTCCCCTCATTTGCGGACTTAAAGAGAGAGTTGGTGAACCTCAGCCTGAGTTAAAGTGGCAGCTCTGGCGTCTGACTTCAGCTAGGTTTGCCCTGACCAGACCGGGCCAACTCTCAGCTCCTGAAATAACAGCCCCCCTCCGACCCCCCCACACCCAGTGCAATTCTCCTGAGAGAACACCATCTCCCCAATTATGCAGACACGTCCTCGCCCTGTGCACCCCTCCGGCCTGCGGGGTCCACGCTGCTTCTGCATCCTGACGTGCGAGCCATTAGTCACTTCCATTCCCAGCCCAGCAACTGCAACCTCCAAGGCACACGGCCTGGCAGGGCTGCGGGCTCATTTGTGAAACCGCCCACAAGCCCGCGGGCAGCTCGGCCAGGGGCTCCAGGAGGCTCGCCTGCCTGCCATGTCTCACGCCCGAGGCCACAGGGCACGTCACTGAGCCGCCTCGTTAGGATCACAGCCACGGCCCTGCCAGGGCCTCCTTCCCAGGTGCCTGGTTACCCCATTCATGCCTGTAAAGATCCATTAAGCCTTTGCGCTGAAAGGCACCGTGAAGGCCAAAACGATCGCTATTATCGCCAATAAACTCCAGGGCACTCTTGCTGTCACCGGCTGAGGACAGTCACCTGCCCACGGCCCTCTAATGAGCTCCCCGCAGCCTCGGGGTGGCTTTGACGCTGACGGGCACGGACACCCAGAGGAAGGAGCGCCAATGTTTTCACGTGGTCTCCTGGCACCCCCACACCTGCAGCGTGAGGGGGGGGCGCCCGCACCATCCAGCCCTGCCCCAGGCCCTCCCCTTCAGGGCTGAGCTGGTAGCAGCCTGCAAGGTGGCAAAAAGCAACGTGGAGACCCACAGTTGGCGTGTCCGCTGCCCTGCGCTGCCCTCTGGCTACATAAAGGTCTTCCCGTCCCCACCCGCCTCCCCGTGGGACCCGCCAGGCAAACACCCGCCATTGATGGAGTCAGGCCCGCGGGGGACGCAGCATCCCGTCCTCCCTCCACCTTCCCTTCCTGAGCGAACTACAGCGGCCAGGGGTTCCCCATTGAAACCCCACCGGCAAACTCCACGGTAACACCCCAAACTGAAGGCATCGAGCGAGTCTGTAACGGGGCTGCCCGAGTAGACAAGGACATCTCCATAGGACATCACACCACGCTGCCCATAGAAAGACCCAGCTACACACTTGCATGTTTATTTTAAATATATATTTTTATTTCAGAAAGGAAGGGAGAGGCGGGGAGAGAGAGAAACATCAATGATAAGAGAGAATCATGGATCGGCTGCCTCCTGCACGCCCCCTGCTGGGGATGGAGCCCACAACCTGGGCATGTGCCCTGACCAGAATCGAACTGTGACCCTCTGGTTCGTAGGTCGAAGCTCAACCAGTGAGCCGTGCCGGCGCGGGCGGGGCCAACCCCTTTTTCTTCTTCTCCCCAAGGACAAGGGCCAGCTCTTCACAGGAAACCCTGTGTGTCTTTTGAAATGATATGTTTCCAACTGATCTCCTGCTGGACAAGGAAATCCACCGTCTTCCTGGTTGAACTGATCCGCTCAATTGCTTTAAGGGGCCCTTGGTCACAGGAGCTTCGGAGCCAGCTGAGCGGGGCGCCCGCTCTTCTTGGGCGGGGCGCTGGCCGCTGTAGTTCGCTCAGGAAGGGAAGGTGGAGGGAGGACGGGATGCTGCGTCCCCCGCGGGCCTGACTCCATCTGTGTAAAGGGATCGGTGCTGCGGCAGCAACGTGAGGATCCCTGCCCGGGCCCTTCGTCCATCCCGCCTGCATCAGCTCAGGGAGCCACAGCACAACGCCACGGACGGATGGGGCTTAACCAGGACACGTATTGGCTCAACTCCGGAGCCTGCAAGGCCAAGATCAAGGTGTCGCGGGCAGCCACCTTCTCACCGGCCCTCACCTGGCCTTCCCATCTGCGTCGTCCTTACGGGACCCCTTCTCACCAGTCCTACTGGATCAGGGCCCTTCATCACCCCTTTAAAGATCCCATCGTCACATACAACCATTGGGGTTAGGGCTTCAACATGAGAACTGGGGGTACCACATTCTCCCCCTAGCCTCACCCACCTCAGCACTGCCCCTCCTCCCTCCCGGGCCTCCCGGGCCTCCTGGGCCTCCTCTTCTCAGCACCTTCCAGCTCATCCTCTGTGGACGCCTCAGTCCCTGTGCCCTCAGGCTGGGCCTTTATGCCCACGCTCCCCGGGGAGCACTGTCGCCTGCCATGTCCCACATGCAGCCGGAGGGGAACCTGCTCCTGGTGCCCCGGGGCCCGGGAGCCTCCACCGGGCCCTCTCCTGGCATTGCTGGCCAGCAGCACAGACAGAAACCTGGGCCCGAGGCCCCTTGTCCAGCCCAAGGGCAGCCGGCCTGGCCTCAGCCTGCAGCCGCTTCTCTCCCCACACGCTGCCTTCCCCCCACATACCGGGTACGGCCTCTGCCCGCCAGCCGCTGCCTCCCCTCCACCCCGGGCACCCTGCAGCCAGGCGAAGACCTACACACTCCGAGTGCAGGAGCAAAGGCAGGCCGGGCCAGCAGCAGATCGCTGGGTTCTGCGGCTCTCTGACCTGGTGTGGATTTGTTTTTTGTTTTGTTTTGGTTTTTTTTTTTGCGTTCAGAGAGGAAGGGAGGGAGAGGGAGAGAGAGATAGAAACATCCATGATGAGAGAGAATCATAGATCGGCCACCTCCTGCACTTCCCTTACTGGGGTCGAGCCTGCAATCCGGGAATTGAACCGTGACCTCCTGGTCATAGGTCAACACTCAACCACTGAGCACACTGGCCGGGCTGTTTTTATTACATCTAAACCCAATGATTTCCCAGGCTGGGCAAGGTCTGGCTCTTGTGATAAAGGCTCGTTTGTGCTCAAGCCATGAGAGGTTTCTCAGAAGAAAGAGGTCGGCCATGTGTCACCTGGATGCACGGGTAGCCCTCCCCCTGACCCAACGCTTCTCCCTGACACAGGTGGGGTTACCTCGGTACATGGCGGGAGAAATCGGCCAGCTGACCCCGAGGGCCTCGTCGTCTGGGAACGTCTCGCAGAAGTCCCGCAGCATGGCCACGCCCAGGCCCTGGCCACGGTGTCGCCTCCGGACAAACACGGTGTCCAAGACGGGCAGCAGGTAGCACGTGCCGGTGCCATCGCCGCACAGGCTGCCTGCAGGGGAAGTCAAGAGACACGCTGTCCCCTGGGCCTGTACCAACCTTCAGGACGCCGCGGCACCATCTTCACACACTAGCCACCAAAGACAAAACGACATCTCCCCCGTCCTCCAGTTCTCCTGCCGACGGACTGGTCAGCATGTGGTTTTATTTTTTGTTGATCCTCGCCTGAGGGTGTTTTCTCCATTGATTCTTAGAAAGAGTGGAAGGGAAGGGGAGACCCAAGGAGAGAGAAGCGACGATGAGAGAGACACACTGACTGGTCAACCTGGGCCGGGATCGAACCTGCAACCCAGGTACCTGCCCTTGATCTGGTATCAAACCCAAGACCGTTTGGTGTGTGGGCCGATGCTCTAACCACTGAGCAACACGGGCCAGGGCTACAGTCAGTATTTTAAAAATGAAGTTGGACCCTTACCTCACATCATATACAAAAATTAATTGAAGATGGATCTAGACATAAATGTAAAGGTTAAAACCACAAAGTTTTAGAAAAAAAAAAACACTTCATGCCCTAACCGGTTTGATAGAATATATTTAAAAAAACAAAAACAAAACACTTCACAACCTAGCCTAGGGTTAGGCAAACAGCTCTTAGATTCAACACCAAACCACAAACAATGGGTCAATCGGACTTCACCAAAATAAAAAACCATGTACTTCAGAAAACACCACTGAGAAAATGAAAAGACTAGCCACAGACTATAAGAAAATGTTTGCAAATCACATTCCTGATAAAAAGACATATCCAGAAGATATAAAGAACTCCTACAATTCAATAAAATGAACACAAACCACCAATAAAAAATGGACAGGTGATCTGAACAAACATGTCTTCAATCAGTGGAAACATACTCAATATCCTTAGTCACTAGGAAAATGCAAATTAAAACCACAGTGAGCCTGGTCGGCGTGGCTCAGTGGCTGAGCGCCGTCTTGTGAACCAGGAGGTCACTGCTTGATTCCCAGTCGGGGCACATGCCCGGGTTCATGGCTTGATCCCTAGTGGGGAGCGTGCAGGAGGCAGCCGGTCAATGATTCTCTCTCATCATTGATGTCTCTCTCTCCTCATCTCCCTTCCTCTCTGAAATCAATAAAAATATATGTTTAAAAACAAATAATGAAACAGAACTTTTCACCTACTAGAATGGCCATAATCAAAAAGACATGCAGTACTTAGTGTTGACAGGATGTGGAGAAATGAGCCCTCATATACTGCTGATGGGAATATATAATGTTACAGCCACTGTGTCAAATAATTCGGCAGTTTCTTAAAAAGTTAAACTTAGGCTTAGCAAACGACCCAGCCCTTCCACTTCCAGGAATCCATCCAAAAGAAATGAAAGCCCACACCCACGCAAAGGCAGGTACGTGAACGCTTCCAGCAGCCTTATTCATAACAGCCCCAACCTGGAAACCGTTCCGGTAAATGCACAAACAAAACGGGGCACACTCACAGCACGGAACGTTACTCGGCAATAAAAAGGAATGAAATACTCATCTCTGCTACCGTCTGGATAAACCTCAGAAGCACCATGCTAAGTGAGAGGAGCCAGATGTCAGAACAGAAGCCGCAGAGCGCATCCGTCCCTGTCTGCGCAGTGTCCAGGAACGGCACGGTGATGGGGACAGAGCAGGCCGGCGGGTGCCTAGCGCTGGGCGGAAGCAGCCACTGACCCCACACAGGCACTTCGTGGGGTGCTGGCGACACACTCTACATTCGCTAAAGTCCCTGAATGGCACACTTACATCGGCAGCTTCTATGGGCTGTAACACTGATGTTAAAAGAATACAATGAGTTGTATTAAAACTGTACTTAAAGATGCACTTAAGCATCTCATTCTTCCAGGAGATGAATGAAGAGGAAACAGGACTATGGGAGGTCCTGCCCCTTTAAGGCAAGTACAGTTGAGGCCAGGTGGGCAGCGCGGCAAACTAAAGCTGAGGCTATGAGGAAGCAGGGAACAGGGAGTGAGGGAAGCTGGTCTGCAGAGGTGGCAATGGAGCAGGTGCCAGGCACCCGCCCAGCGTGAGAAGCCGGCTGCACCCCAGGAATCCCCTAAACCCTTCCTCTACCCCGTCTTGCAAGCCCTTGGTCAGGGGACAGCAATCCTTCTCTCCCCGGGTGGTGGAGCTGGAACGTGAACACCGCTCTCTGGCCGCTCCACTGTTTGCTGCTGATGTTTCTGCTAAAGGCCAGATGCATGAGGGTCCCTGCCTGACGGACAATTGGACAGGAGGCGCCCGTGGCCCTGGGTGTCTGGGGGAGGGGCAAACAGGACGCCCCGGGCCATTTCTTAGCATCCCTGCCATGTCCCAGGTCACATGCTTGTCCGGGCTGCCAATCACCTAATCGAATGCTTCCCAGGGCTGCTCCAGCCTTAGCGCTGGGCTGTCAGGAACCTGAAACGTGAAGTTGTTCCTTTTAGATTTTTATACAAAGTTTACTGGTCACAGGGTATAACTCAACCCCCAAAGCCACAGAGAACAGTGATGGGAAAGGCTGAAGCCTTACCAGCTAACGGTGGCAGAGATGGAATTTCACGACAAGGAAAGCAGCTCCAACTTAAAGGGGAAGTCCTAGCCCAGCCTGTGTGGCTCTGTGGTTGAGCATCTACCTATGAACCAGGAGGTCACACTTCAATTCCCGGTCAGGGCACATGCCCAGGTTGTGGGCTCGATCCCCAGTAGGGGGCGTGCAGGAGGAGGCTGATCCATGATTCTCTCTCATCATTGATGTTTCTCTCTCTCTCCCTCTCCCTTCCTCTCTGAAATCAATAAAAAAACTTTTATTTTTATTTTTTTTAAGAAAGCACATGAACAGATGGGTACCAGACTTATTGGGGGGATCACTTCGTGAGGTATATAAATGCCTACTCATTATGTTGTGCACCTGAAATTAACATTATATATCAACAATACTTTAAAAACAAATTTCAGAAAGTTAAAAACTTTTTTAGAAAGCAGCTCTAAAGAGACCGATCCCTTTGGCAAATGGCACTTGCCCCAGGCACTTCTTGCCACAGCCCAGGACACTGAGCCCCGACCTCCCCCTGACTCCGCTGTGGTGACGACCTGCCCTGCTTCCGAGGTCCCGTCCATGAATCTCAGCACGCAGTGTGCTCCGCACACGTGAGCCACCAGCAACGGTACTAATGGTAACATTCCAGAGACGAAATGAAAAGCATTGTGCTTGCGAATCACTTCACACCACTAACTGCCACGTGGCCCGGGCTGGGAACCAAAGGGACAGGCTTCAGCCGGCCTCCAGCAGGAGGAGAAGCGGGCGAGAATGAGGGCTGACCTTGGGTTCGTTTACCTGACAGCTGAGCTAGTGGTACCTGCTGTACCCGGAGATTCTCCCCCAGCAAGGCCTGTGCTGGGGCCCGCGGGGGCAGGAGGCCACCCAGAGCAGCGGTCGCCAACCTTCGGACCTCACGGCCGCTGGCCCAGGGAGCCCGGATGGCCCGGCCCGGCCCGGCCACTCACCTTTCGCTTTGGTTGTGTAAAATCCGACCGCGGCCCCGTCCCGCCACAGGATTTTAGCCTGCTCCTTCCCAGAGTGCGGCAAAAAGAACATGGCGTCGTCATCTAAGTTCCTCTCCAGCCGTCCAAAGATAACGACGTTGAGGATGAAGAGCACAATCCTCTCCCCGAATGACTGGACCTTCGAAGGAAAGCAGAGCGAGCCAGTGAGGCGGAGGGAAGAGCAGGGGCGGTGGATCCTGCGCTCGGCATCCGCCCGCCCGTGATCCTTCTCATGCACGAGGCCGAGATGTGCACCGTTTCTCAGGAGGTTTCATACCCGTGACCTTCACACCAGTCGGCCCGCCTGCTGCCATCCGGCCCTCACCACCTGCCGGGTGGTCCCGCTTTGCAGGTGAGGAACTTGAAGCTCAGAGAGGGTGGGTGACGCATTCACTGATTTCCTGCCTCATTGCAGAGGGCTGATGGCAGCTGGATGGGGACTCTGCAGGGACAGGCACGCCCAGGGACAGGCCGGGCCGGTGCACCTGCTGAGCCGGCCAGCGGCTGCCTCCTGCCCGTCATCCATTAGAACTGAGGCTCTGGAGAGGGGAGCTTCATACAAATGGTAATGTTGGGTTTTTTGTTTTAAATAGATGTTTTTATTGATCTCAGAGAGGAAGGGAGAGGGGGAGAGAGATAGACACATTGATGATGAGAGAGAATCATTGATAGGCCGCCCCCTGCAATGCAGGCATGTGCCCTGACCGGGAACTGAACCGTGACCTCCTGGTTCATAAGTAGATGGTCAAGCCCTGAACCACGCTGGCAGGGCTGCACTTTATATTTAATACTTGACCCTTACATTTTCTTCACCATCATGTGGTTGTGGCTTCTTGGTCCACATTGGCAACTTCAACCTCTCTGAGCCTGTTTCCTCGGCCGGTCTACGGAAAAGACCACCTAAGTGGCCTCTGAAACATTAGTCTGCTTTTCAACAGCTCTGCTAATAAAAAGAAGGCAGCTTGCAGAATCCCAGCAAATGGTACACAGTGTGCAGAGCCAGTAAACTTATTAATTGGCCCAGAATGTGAAATATTTCACCTTTATCTGGATGAGAAAGATTTGATGAGAAAAAGATTTGTAAAAACTTCACCAGCTAATTCTTTTTTAAAAAATATGTTTTTTAAAATTGATTTTTAGAGAGAGAAGAAGGGAGAAGGACAGAGAGATAGAAACATTGATCAAAAGAGCATTGTGAGGGAGAAGGACAGAGAGATAGAAACATTGATCAGAAGAGCACCGTGGATCGGCTGCCTCCTGCAGGTTCCCTACTGGGGATCGAGCCTGCAACCCGGGCAAGTGCCCTGAACAGCAATTGAACCGGCGACCACCTGGTTCCTGGGTCGATGCTCAACCATTGGGCCACACTGGCCGGGCCACACCAGCTAATTCTGAGAAGCCACGCCAATTCGGTGTCTCAGACAGCAACAGCCAAATCAAGTTCAGAGTTAAGCATAACGACCCTGTCACAACACCCGGTCGGTGTGATGTGGGAGGTTATAATTGTCACCTTAAGGGAAACATCCAGTCAAAAGCTGGCAGCAGAAGAGGAGAGAAAGAAAATGCACTTAATCTGTGCAGGTTCCTGACGGGGGGGAATAATGTGGGGAATGAGATGCTGACTTAGAAACGTTTCTGGAAACACAAAAATAAGACCTGTTCTAATCCCTAAATTAGGGCCACTATTTATGTTAACAGAAAGAACATTAAGCGAGCTTTTTTTTTTGGTAACTGGTGAAGAAGAGCTCGCTAAGAAACAAAATGTAATTAAAGGGACGGGGGATTTTACATGGCAACAGCACGATGACTCTTAAAACCTTCTGTAATATCCATTCTAAATGGCAGCACCTACCTTCATCAGGCCTTCTCTTGCAGGGTTGGAGGTCCTCAGGACGTCTTCGGTGGCCCACCAGGAGTCCTTTAGGTACACAGCCACGACTAGAGAGAAAGCCAAGAGGAGGTGATGACGCGCACCCAGCCAGCTGGTCACCAGAGGCGGTGTCGGCAGCATGCAGCCGCCGTTGCCGTGCAAGGGAAAGGGTATGCCTGGTAGCATCTATGGTTCCTCTGTGTCTTTTCATGCCTGGATTCTCAACATTCTTTTTCAGCGCTGAATACTATGCCATTGAATGGATGTACCACCGTTTATTTCTCCTGTGGTATTTTCTCTGTACCCCTTATACTGCCATTTTTATTTTCTTAAATATATTTTTATTGATTTCAGAGAGGAAGGAAGATGGGGAGAGACAGAAACATCAATGATGAGTGAGAATCATCCATCAGCTGCCGCCTGTACGCCCCCTACTGGGGACCGAGCCTGCAAGCTGGGCATGTGCCCTGACCGGGAATCGAACTGTGACCTCCAGATTCATAGGTCAACACTCAACCACTGAGCCACGCCGACCGGGCTTACTGCCATTTTTATACCTGCTTCTCAAGCCAGGTGTCTGAGCCCAGGGGGTCCAGAAGCCACAAAATAAAAAGATACATCTTCCTAGTCAAACTCTGTCAGCTGAAGGTTGGGAGGATAATGATAACATGGAGGAGAAAACAAAAGCCTTCACCATTCAATACCCAGCTCACGACCTGGAAGCAAATGTTGTGGACCATCTGGGTAAGCCGCCGCCACCGTCTTCCCTGTTTCTCTCGGTGAAGACCAGGCCACAGTGGCATTAGCCAGTTATTAACCATAACCCTGTCCAGCCAGCCCCTCCTCTCCGAAGACCCGCGGCATCCAATCCACACGTCAGTGGCATGTCATCGGCGAATTATATCAGACCTAACCATAGTCCCCAGGTTGACGGAGCCGGCTGGGAGCGAAGGACCAATTAAATGCTTGACATCTGCCTTATTAATTCAACGAAATTCATGTTCAAAATGGCACCTACTGGAACGCACATGAGCCTTATAAAGCCCCCAGGATTATTCTTCTTGCTTAACAAGATGAATCAATAGGAGACGTCCGATTAACTGACAGTGTGTCGCTGGCACACAGATGTTGGATGTACTAAGACGGCCTCAAACAGGAAAGCTGTTAGGTCTCGGTGTCTGGGTGATGCCTGAGAAGCTTCACGGCGGGGGCAGGGCGTTCATTAGTCACACAAGTTGTCACCAAAGAGACGGAACTGCTTTTTTCAAAATGAATCTTAAGCTGCTACGTAACAATGAGGAACAGGCCTACAATAAACTGCCCTCCAAACTGGCGTGGCTCAGTGGCTGAGTGTGGACCAATGAACCAGGAGGTCACGGTTCGATTCCCAGTCAGGGCACATGCCCGGGTTGTGGGCTCCATCCCCAGTAGGGGGCGTGCAGGAGGCAGCCGGTCCATGATTCTCTCTCATCATGGATGTTTCCATCTCTCTCTCCCTTCTTCTCTGAAATCAGTAAGAATTTATTAAAAAAGAAAGAAAGATAGAAAGAAAAGACGGCTCTTGGAAAAGAGAGTCAGCCCTCTGGAGAGTGGCAGCATCTGGTCAGAAAAGCGCAGCCCTGGGAGAGAGGCCGTGCCCGCTGGGCATGGATGGGCGTGGATCTGGGCTGACATGCTGCAGACCCCGCCCAGGGCAGCTGAGACCCGGGGCCAGCGAGATCAGAGAGTCAGAAAATGGCTTTGAAGGGAAAATGCGATTCTGATCAGTGTCCCCTGGCCCTGGACCCCAGGCACCAGCAGCCGGCGGCGTGTGCAGTGGTGACAGCCATCCACAGGGCGCGCCTCGTCCGGGAGGTCAGCCTCGCTGAACTAATTTAATTTCCTTCTCCCTCCGGGTGACAGGTGATGCGGGCCACAGAGCACATGTCAGGAATGGATTTCATTCCGTGACACTCCAAGGCTCCCCGAACAAGTCAAGACAGCGAGGTCCCTCAGGCTAACTCCTGGGGCCCGGCTGCCCGGAGGCGGCATGAGCCACGGAGTTCAACCCCGAATGCCTGTGCGGAGCTGCCCCCGGCACCCGTCCTCGCCCCCCGGAGCTGGCAGCAGGACAGGAAGAGACCTAACCAGCCCTCCAATACAGGGCAGGGGCATGGGAGGTGCGGGATCGAGCTGGGACCCCAAGTGTCACGAGGACCCAGAGGGAGAGTCAGTGCTGCTGAGGGTGTTGGGGGAGCGTCCCTGGGAGGCCCCCAGCTTGGGCTCTGGCGTCACTGGGGGAGGGAGGCCACAGGCAGCTGATACACAGCCCGGAGCTGAGCAGAGACAGGGAAGGCCATGCCCCATCCCAGCCCAGGAACCAAGGAGGGGGGGTCCTCTCTCTCTCTCTCTCTCTCTCTCTCACACACACACACACACACACACACACACACACACACATACACACACAACACACACACACACACACACACACACGGATAAACACACATGCATGAACACACGCACAAACACACATGCATGAGCACAGTGCACGCACACAGAAGCATGAACACGCATGCACACACGTGCACAGGTCTTATCTCCCTGCACCTGCGAGTGGTCCGTGGACTGGCCCAGGATCAAAACTTCCTCAATCACAACAGAAGGGGCTTCAAGTCCCCTGCTGCCTCCCCAGCTGCCCGCCCCCCCCACCATCGCTCCCCTGGAGTCCAAGCCGCCACTGCCCCGTTACAAATCTAAGAAATATGTAGTCCTCCCCCAAACCCAGCAGTTAAACCACAGTGACGGCCATCTTCGCCAAAGCAAAACACACGTCCGTCCCAAGGGCTGTGGGGCTTCACGCCACACCGGCCCCGCCCGTCAATCGTCTCAGGGGAGGGGAAACACACGCATTGACATAGCAACTGTCACCTCGCATTACGCGCTACCATTTCCATGCAGATGTCTTCCTTAAAGGGAAGCCCTTCCCCAGATGCCCGCGCACTCGGCGCCTCTCTGCCATGGAGAAGGGAACATCTGGCTTGCAGGGTGCTCGCAGCGTCCACCTCCCTGCGGCTCTCCAGCAGGAAGCCATGTGGCCGCCATGAGTCTAGGTTTGAACTCAAGGAAGATGGCGCAGGATGGGGTGCCTGGATCGGAGGTACAGCTCCACTACAAGACGTGGGGGGCGGAGAGAAACCCACACCAAAGCTAGTCTCGCTAGGAAGGGAGTCTGCACCTTGTTGGGCTGGGCCAGGGCACGCACAGCGAGCGTCTGAGGGCTGGGGGAGCAGACAGAGCTGCAGAGAGCCCGGGCTGCAGGGGCAAAACCCCAGAAGCCTCGAGACGCCTCCAACCCCCAGACTCCGGCTCCATCCTCTTGTTTTTAAAAATATATTTTTATTAATTTCTGAGAGGAAGGGAGAGGGAGAGAGAGAGAGAAACATTAATGACAGAGAATCATGGATCGGCTGCCTCCTGCACGTCCCACTGGCACGTGCCCCGACCAGGAATCAAACCATTGACCTGTGGGTTCATAGGCCGACCCTCAACCCCTGAGCCGCTCGCATGAACACACGCACAGACACGTACACATGCACAGGGGAGGGAGGCCGCAGGCAGCTGGATACAACCGTCAACTCGGAATCCATCCCTGACACTCCAATATTTTCCTGGACCTTCCCTCTTTTCCAGATCCCACTGGTCCCCTGTAAGAAGGACATGCCTTTGTTTGTGGGAGGCTGTTTCCCTGCGTTTAAATCCAACTCCGTGCCAGAAATTAACGGGAATAAAGAAGAGGAGCCCCAACAAGAGCCAACATGTGTCCCTAAAGGACAGAGCTGTCCTGGCAAACAGCCCTCCCATCGGGGCCCCTCTCAGCCCCCGGGAAACAGAACTGTTTCCAGCATGAACACCCTTTTGCTTCTATGAGCTGGAGTGAGGGGCGTCACAGAAAGGGCCCCCAGTTCTGAAGTTCCCTGGGCACCCCAGGGGCGCCCCTCACTTTCCGCCCTCTCACCCTCCTGACCCACCACCCACCTGCCCCAAACGCAGCCCCGAGGAGGGCTGGCCGCGGGCCCTGGGTGTCGCAATCCCGCCGGCCCGGGACAGCTTCTCTGCATGTTTGCCTTGGCTCCGCCGCCGCCGCAGGCCTATAACGGGAACGCTTTTCCAGGAAAAAATCATCATTTTTCGGCTCCCTGCTTGTTTTTCTCAGGGTGCAGATGACATGCAATCACCAGACACGGAAAAAACTTAGCAGCCATTTGAAGGACGAGTCCTATGCTCGGGCACAAAGCGTCCTGGGGGCGGGCTGGGGGGGGAGACGGTCTAATCGAGGGTTTGGGGGGGCTGCATGTGGCAACACCTGCCCAAGAGCCCCCCCAGGCCCCCTTCTCCGGGAGGCCTGCGTCCTTTCTGGCCCACAGCCCCCACCGCCCCGCCCACGTGTGTCTCCTCTGTGAGCGAGCTGAGGAGGAACCAAACACCCTCTGGGAAGAGCCCGGAAGATGTAGGCGACCCGATCCCTCCTGACGGGCCAGAAGCAATGGTGCCATCAGGAGCCTGGAACTTTCCGTCCGTCCCCTGGCCTCTGAGGAGGGGAGAGGGGTCTGGTCCGGTGGTGACACGGAGCAGCCTCTGTCACACAAACAGGCAAGAGTGAGACTCACAGTGTGCCTCTCAGACCACCTGTCTGGGAAGTGCCTGCCCAGCTTCCTAAGGGGGCTGGGAGGCTGCAGTACCACAGGCTACCAGCAGTCGGCGCTGAGCCAGGACTGCCCGCAGCCAGGGAACTCGCAGCCCATTGCTTTTCCTTTGCTCTTTGCTCACCGGGTTATGGGAGTCCCTGGGATGGACTCCACCAGCTTATCAGCAGCTAACGCACACCGAGGGCTTCTCCATCAGCTCTGCTGCTTTCACTTCCATCTCACCACGAACACACACACACACACGAACACACACGCAGCCTTTACACATACAACGGCTCCAGGAAATTCACAGAGCAACCAGCAACGGCGACCTCCACGGTCACGGCTAAGCACACGTGAAAAGACACGTGTTGAAAGCTGTGCGAGGAGCTATGCCACCGCCGGCCCCTTCCAGGTCCACCTGCTTCAGGCCACAGAGGCACGTTCACACATCGTGTCTGACTCACAAGGGGTGGGGGACACCCGAGACGCTTTTCGGGAACCTCGCAAACATCGCAGCCACCACGGCAGAGCCCCTGCAGTCTGGGGAACGGGGGGGAACTTTATTTAAAGTGCGATCACACGTGTAAGGAAAGGTCAGAGAGAGCCTTCGTGGAGCGAATGAATATCTACTACATTCTTGAGAACAACCAACAAATTGTGTAATTAATAGGAAGCAGATTCACAAGAGTCGGTCATATGTTAACATTATGCAAACTGTAGCTGAAGACCTACACCCAGAATAGTATTAAACGCTGAAGAAAGGCGGGAGGGGGATGGGGGGGGCTTGCTGGAATTTGGATGTGTTCTTCAAGTCGGCAAATGACATTTTGGGCGTGTTTGACAATCTGTTCACCGAGGGGTTCCTGTGGGCACCCCGTGTTACTAACTTGTTCCTTGCCTCCAGCCTGGAGCTGGAGTCCAAGTTCAAGGCCAGGGTGAAGGCCTGGTGCTATCACAGGCCCTCTGTTCATGGAGACCAGGGTTTGCCAGATGGAAATGGATGTCCTGACCTTGATGGGAAAGCCAACACACACAGCTCAGCCACGCCAGGCTCCCAGTCCACACGCCCGCAACCCCCAGCCAGCCAGCTGGGCACTTGAGTCTCGGATCGGCAACAAGAGACACCTTTCCCTGGTCAAGAATATCACCAGACAGCAAACCCCAGACTAACAGGCAGGCGAAAGGGAGGGTCTGGGGGGGGAGGTGTGTGTGGAGAGCTGATGAGGCCCTGTTTGCAAATTGCAGTTAAAGACCTAAACCCCACACTTTCACCAGATATGTCACTCAAGGAGGGTTGACTAATTAAGGGCTGGTTTGGGTTTTTAAATTCCTTATTAAAGAGACCATACATGCCTGGCAGCATGGCTCAGTGGTTGAGCGTTGACCTATGAACCAGGAGGTCACAGTTTGATTCCCAGTCAGGGCACATGCCCGGGTTGCGGGCTTGATCCCCAGTAGGGGGCGTGCGGGAGGCAGCTGATCACTGATTCTCTCTCATCGTGAACGTTTCTCTCCCTCTTCCTTCCTCTCTGAAATCAATAAAAATATATCTTTAAAAAAAATCAGGCCTGAACACCGCCACTGTGGGCAAGAGTGTATCTAGTGTCTTTAATGCAAGTCATCAGGACGTGTGGTGCATAGAAATAATGCACTGTGTCCTCTCTAAAAGCTGAAAATGCATCCTTCTGCTTGACGTTCTAGGTCCAACCCCAGGCGCCACCGCCGCCTCCTAGGTGTCTGGTTCCATCCATCATCAGCGGTAAGCCTGAATCCGAGGCTTTAAGTCCGGGAGCAACTACCCACCTGACTTTGTGTCCTGGGGATTGACCAAGACCAAGAGTTGGTGCTGAGGCTCGTCCCGGTGCACCGTGCAGAAGCAAACGGACGCCGCTTCAAGTTTAACCTGAAAAGGATGAGAACATGGCCGTTGTGTTCTTTCATCATAGCAGGCGAGGAAGTCACTCATCAATCACCACGGTATTCGCTGAAAGGTCGCTGCTACGCGGAGGTTAATCTGACAGGATGCAGGCAACACCTAAATGGAAAACTGACCCTCTCTGCACTGAATGCAAAGGGTAACAGGGTAACACGACAGAGGCCCTGGGCTGCCGCCTTTTTCCTGGGTCACCTGCCCACCCACTCAGCATGGACTCAGCACCCACTCAGCAGAGGCCCTTCCAGTCTCCCCTCCACACGCTTCCCCGGCCTCAGCCTAGGAGAGCAGAGGGCCTCCTGTCCTCCTGGGGCCTCTCTATGGACAAGCCCTGTGTCCACCCACAATGCCACTCAGGCTGCCCGCTGCCCTGGCTCGGGTCGCTGCACGCAGCCTCGAGAGATCCGTGGCCCCCGGCACCTGGGACGGAGCCTCAGTGCGGGTCTCTGACTCATGCTGGGACTGCCACATGCCAAGTCTTCTCTTTGTGGCCCACGGCCCCCAGCGCCCTGAGCACAAGCCAACACATTCCACGGCAAAGTCCGTTTTGAAAATGGAGGAGGGTACAAGCTAAGGAAAGAGAGAGGCAGGCAGGCTGCTTGCACGTTTGCGGCAGACCTCACAGTATCTCATTTAATTCTCCTAACCACAGCGCAAAGCCAGTTTCCTCACTGTCCCAGTTTTAGAGCTGAGAATACCAAGATCAGAGAGGTTAAGACACTTGCTCAAGGTCACACAGCTCGTAAGTGGTAGACAAGGCATTCACAACCGGCTGTGGTGCTCCCTGCCTCGCAGAACTGGCCTTACATCCGGGCCTCCAGAACCCCAATCCAGGAGCCCTTCTGCTTCTCAAGGTGGAATTACACAGCATTCGCTCCAGAAGGCTTTTCTTTTAACCCTGTAACACGTGTTCACTAACATTTACTTTCTAATAAATATAGGAGAGTTTTTAGAGCTCTCTGCCAACAAGAAGGATCCGACATACCTGCTCCCCCGTGGGCAGAGAGAAGACGTCTGCCCCGGGCTGCGCCCCTTCCCTCAGCGCGGCATAGTAAGCCAGCGCCGCTTCCCGATGACCTTCGGGGTCATCTTCCAAACCATCCACCGGGTAAATGCCTGCGAGGGGGACAAGGAGGCAAGAAAAGAAAGGACATTAGTTTGACTCTTTTGTTAAAGGGAACACCACTTGCTTCTTGAAGAGTAAAAAAAAGCCCTGGCTGGTTTGGCTCAGTGGATAGAGCGTCAACCTGCGGACTGAAGGGTCCCAGGTCTGATTCCGGTCAAGGGCACATGCCTGGGTTGCAGGCTCTGATCAATGATTCAGTCTCATCATGGATGTTTCTCTCTCTCTCTCCCTTCTTCTCTAAAATCAATAAAAATATATATATTTTTTAAAAGCACCCGAAAGAACACTATACACACGATTCTCACTGCCCTGGCCAGGTGGCTCAGTGGGTTGGAGTGTCACCCCCATCCTGTACACCAGAAGGTGGCGGGTTTGATTTCGGGTCAGGGCACACACTTAGGTTGTGGATTTGACCCTCAGTCGGGGCGTGTACAGAGGCACCCGGTTGATGTTTCTTTCTCACATCAATGTTTCTCTCTCTCTCTCCCCCTTCCTCTCTCTGAAGTCAATTAATTAAAAAAAAATGTTCACCTATTTTGTAATGAAAAAAAGGCCTTGCTGATGGCAGGGAGATGTGAGGCTCAAGGGCACACCTGGCCAGTGCGAGGGGCCTGAGGAAGTACGGAGTCTGGGTGTTCTGCGCATGCGCTGGAGGCCGAGCTGGCCGGCCACACTCACGTCGGTGGTGCCCGAAGGCAGACCCCGGCAGGGGCTTCCACTCCAGATGTGAAATGCTAATGGGCTTTCACGGCTTCCACGGGACAGGAAATCTTTTTCCAAAGCCCAAAGAATGTAATCTTTTCAATACAATGTAAGACGCTTTTATGAAAAAAGGCCCACAGTTGCAATGATAATTCGTTGCAGACTGTAAAGAAATGGAAATCCCCAAATGGAAGAACTCACTTTAAGCATATGTTTGCTGTAGTCATCCAAAAAGCAAAAACACTTAAATGTTTGTATTCCGGGGAAAATACGTAAATCATTCGGGATCTTTGGGCCAAAGCTTGCGTGCCCAGGGTTGCTTGAAAGGCAGGCCACACACACACCCCTGAGCCACGGCCTGCCCACCACGGGGGACCAGCCAGCCACTGCTGGGTAGGCCACTGCTGGTGAGTCGGGTAAGGCCTGATGCTCAACGGCTTTCCCAGCGCTTTTTGGTCCCCCCTATGTAAATAGCAATGCCCATAAATGAAGATCTTCACAGGGGTAGTTGCTTTGCACTTAATCATTGATTCGTTACAACTTGCTGAATATTCTCCCCAAATACCACTTCACTACAATGATTAGGAAAATTCTTTCATTTTAAGCAAAGTGTTTCTCATATGAGAAACATTAGTAAAGAAATTTTCAGAAACTTACTGAAAGCTTCTACCCATAGGTCACTGCACAGCATTACGTCACTGGAAAAGCTGGCTGTAATCACTTATGTTTTTCAGTAATGGGGACTATCATTTTAAAATTACAAAAACAACAGTTCTTGCTGATGATGTGAAAAAATTGTACCAGTAAAACAGCATTTGTCTTTTGTGTTTTAAAAATGGTTAAGAGTAGGTATCACTTGTACAGAGTTTTTGTTTTGATGTGTTAAAAAATATATTTTTATTGATTTCAGAGAAGAAGGGAAAAGGGAGAGAGAGAGAGAGAGAGTGAAACATCAATGATGAGAGAATCATGGATAGGCTGCCTCCTGCATGCCCCCTTACTGGGAATCGAGCCTGCAAACAGGGCGTGTGCCCGCACCAGGAATCGAACTGTGACCTCCTGGTTCATATGCTGATGTCCAACCACTGAGCCACGCTGACCTGGCCTGAGAACTAACTACTTTTAAGTGACTTAAAGCGTGATTACGTTAATTTATATTGTAACAGGGCTGTTGCATACAGCGGGAAATACGCAAATACCTGCAGTTGTGCGAGGCAGTGCCTGCCATGTATACAGTATTGCAGAGTCCAAGGTGCATGCACCTTCCACATACCAGCATTTCATTCCCCAGGTCCGCCCTGAGGAGCACAGCTCCACAAGCTGTGCCGTGGACGGAGCGCTTCTGAGGCCAGAACACTCAGAAAGGGGCCTGCGGTGCCGCTCAGCTCGGAGACGGGGCGGCCCGCGTGCCTGTCAGCAAGCAGGACATTGAGCAACTCTGCAGTGGAATTTGCTTAGCCCAGCACTTCCTTCCCCAACTTCTTTAACCAGGGGCCCCTTGTTCCGGAACACTGACTGACAGATGAAGAGACACACCTGCCAGGGGAGCGCTGTGACACAGTGTCGGGGACGGACAGCAAACATGCACCCGCCTGGCGCTAGGGGCCCCACCCGGAGAGGGGGCCGGAGGTCAGAGCGTTCCCCACCCGGAGAGGGGACCGGGGGTTGGAGCGCTCCCCACCAGGGAGGAGAGAACAGAAGGGAGGCAAAGACACACTTGGATATTTCCGTTGGTTCTTGATGATGAGCATCTGATTGCCAAACTATTCTTAGCCAAGAAGTGAAAAAAGGGAGAGTTGGAAGACAGGATGTGGGATATGTCAGAGGGTCCGGGAGGCTGCCTTCCGGGTGGTTGACAGGAGCCTGTTGCTCCGTTCTCACGTACTTAGTACTGGCCAATTCGCAGCCTGTCACTGACTTGGCTGAGAATAAAGCCCTCATCCCGAAGCTGAGATGGTAAAGTGTGCAGATTACTTTCTGTGCCACCCACACCGAGGTTTATGGCACTCTAATTGCTTTTAATATGCAGGTCCCCTCATCTGAACTTCGGGGTGTCTAATTATTCCCGTTCCCCCCCCCACCCCCCAATCATGCAAAAGGGTATGAGGTGGGACTGAAACATACTGTCCGTTCTGCATGCAGAGGTGTCACACTCGGGGTCCCACGTGGAACCCTGTTTGGGGCAGGCGGGAGGGAACAGCACCTCACCCAGCTGCTTCCTGTCACACCTCCCCACCAACAGGCAGTAGGTTTGACTATGGGGACAAAGGCACTAGCTTTCAGACCTGATTTAAAAAACCTCTGGGCATATGAAAAATAGACCGCCATGACATGCCAGCATAAACCACAGAATCAGACACCCAACCACCGCAAAGAAGGACATTGTCCAACACAGAAGATATGGATATTAAATGTGTGAAAGAAGGTCAGTCCTGGCTGGTTTGGCTCAATGGCTAGAACATCGGCCAGTGGACTGAAGGGCCCAGGGTTCGATTCCAGTTAAGGGCATGTACGTCGGTTACAGGGTAGATCCCCACCCAGGTCGGGGCTTGGGGAAAAGACAACCAATCAATGCATCTGTCTCACATCGATGTTTCTTTCTCTCTCTCTCTCTCTCTCTCCCCCTCCCTTCCACTCTCTTTAATAATAAATGGGAAAATATCATCGGGTGAGGATTAACAAGAATAACAACAAAAAAAGAAGTTTAAATAGCCAAGTTTTTTTTCATTTGCCCAGTAAGATTCTAAAGCACGGGTGGGCAAACTTTTTGACTCGAGGGCCACAATGGGTTCTTAAACTGGACCAGAGGGATGGAACAAAAGCATGGATGGAGTGTTTGTGTGAACTAATATAAATTCAAAGTAAACATCATTACATAAAAGGGTACGGTCTTTTTTTTTTTTGTTTTTAGTTTTATTCATTTCAAACGGGCCGGATCCGGCCCACGGGCCGTAGTTTGCCCACGGCTGTTCTAGAGGGATAGAGAGTAGATCTAGAAATGAATGTCCTAAATAGCCAATGAACTTAAAAAAAAAAAAAAAGTATGAAGAAATTACCCAGAATGCAGCATAGAAGCAAAACATGAAAAGCAGGTTAAGAGACATGGAGAGTAGATTGATGAGCTCCAGGAAGAATATAATTGAAGCTCCAGAAGAAGAAAAAGAGTAATAAAGAGTCAAGATTTGAAGAAATAAAGACTGAATTTTTTTCAGAATTAATGAAAGACACCGGTCCTCAGATTCTAGAATCCCAACCAAGCCAAGCCTGCTAAAGCCCTCATACAATCCCAGAGCAAGTTTACAATTGATTAACTTCAGAATTAATTGGAGCTAATACATACACTACAATTTCCAAGTTCTTCCCTGAAAGAATAGAAACAGATATTAAATTTCAAAAGAGGAGAGAGAGAAAATGGAATCAAGGCAAGAATGGGGGGAGGGAGCATCTCAGTTTAAAAGAAGGCAAGAAATGAAAACAGGATGACCTGTGCTCAGCTAAATTCAGACTTAGTCGTTATTTACTTAAATTCATTTTTCATTCTGTATTTATTGATTATGATCAAAACCAGATATTTACCAACAAGTAACTAGGCTATGTTTTTGCAGGACAGATGTTGTTTTATTAGTGTCTTTACCCCAAGTATTTTTTAAAGACTTTAATGAGATGTTTATTCAATATTCCTGTATTAAGAAAAACATTAAACAGTACCTTTCCTTCTGCATAGCTTAAAAATACACCCCCCCACCCCCCGGATGCTCTACCAGCACCAACACGGGCAGCACACGTGCACCATGCAAATCACTTACTGGAAACATAAAGGTCAAAACGAACAACTGACTGTAATTCACTGGGCCTTTACCCCTCTACCCACATACACGCACACCAAAAACAGTGCACGGAGCAGCAGGTAACGGAGAAGGGGGCAGGGACACATTCCCAGAGGGAGGGCTCACACAGTGCGGACTCCACAACACGGGCTTCTCAAGCACTTACACGGAATGAAACATCCGGGAACTTTGATGAGGGTTTATTTCAGCAAAATGCAAGAAAGCAAACAGGGCTCTCTCTCGTGTTAATGGAATTCGTGAGTAGTGGTTAGAGACTTGGTTTCCAAGAAGAACACATTGATCTGATTCCTGCAAGTCGAGGAAACCAGCGGTCTAGGAGGGTGGGCCTGGGGAGCCCCCACCACGCCTGCATGTGGACAGGTGCTCTCCCTCAGCCCTCCGGAGCCCCCCCCCCACCCGGCCCTCAGCCTCAGGTGGTGCCCAGCGGCCCCCGGGCTGCACTGCTTTGAAGGAGCGAAGAAGTTTCAAGAGGTTTCTAGCCCGGCCAGCGTGGCTCAGTGGTTGAGCTTCAACCTATGAACCAGGAGGTCATGGTTCGATTCCCGGTCAGGGCACATGCCCGGGTTGTGGGCTGGATCCCCAGTAGGGGTCGTGCAGGAGGCAGCCGATCCATGATTCTCTCTCATCACTGATATTTCTCTCTCTCTCCCTCTCCCTTCCTCTCTCTGAAATCAGACCAACTGACAACAGGCATTGGTTTAAGCAGGAAATGAGGGCACTGACCGGCACTGGAGTATGACAAGGCTCCAGGGGGCCAGAGCAGGGGGTGGGGAAAGGCAAGCCTGGATTTCAACAGACAGTGGCCTTCAGAGTCACACATGCTGTTGCTGCACCCCCACCCAAGCCTGCTGATTGCTGGCCTTGGAGCGGAAACGCCACATACATCATCATCATCATCATCATCGTAAGCGTGAGTTACTCAAAGGCCCCAGACCTGCAGTGGTGACTGACAGTCACTAACTGCACCGCCCCACCCCCAGGAACCCTGATTTTAAAAGTCACATGGCCTCTAGGCAGCTAACGGCAATCGTGATTGAGTTTTGCCCTGAAGTAGGTCCCTAAACGACACAGCACAGCAGAGGGCACAGGCTCTCCTGTGACCCTGCCGGGAAGCCCCCGCGCTGAGCCACAGGGAGGATGTTCGCAGAGGAGCAGGGAGCCAGCTGCCCGCAGGAGTCCAGCTCAGGCCAGTCAGTTGGTCAGCAGACAAGGGTTTCAAAGGTCAAAAAACAACACCTCAGTGCCCACTGCCCTCCCACTGCCCAGCCCGAGTCCTGACCACCGGGTCATTCACTCTGTCCGGCCAGGACGGGGTCAGGAACCAGTAGAGATCCGAGGAAACAATACAGCCCTTGCTGTCTAAACGTGGGGGCGGCCCTAAGTTTAGGTAATGAAAACTAGTGATTTCAGTTGAGCTTTAACAGAAAAAGAACATTTAAGGGAAGATTTTAAAGATGAAAACAGCAGCCCTAGCTGGTTTTGCTCAGTGGATAGAGCATCAGCCTATGGACTGAAGGGCCCCAGGTTCAATTCTCGTCAAGGGCACATGTCCATGTTGTGTGCTCGATCCCCAGTTGGGGGCATGCAGGATCAATGATTCTCTCTCATCATTGATTCTCTCTCATCATTGATGTTTCTAACTCCCTCTTCCTTCCTCTCTGAAATCAATAAAAATATATTTTTAAAAAATAAAGAAACACACAATTGTTAGATTAACGCTTCCCTGCTGGGGAAAAAAGGATTCTCCGGAAACGTGATCTGCTCAAGCCCCTTTCGGAAATGGGCTATGCAAGCTGAGGCAGCGGGCAGCTGTGCAGAGCTCCTCTCCATTAGGATCTAGCGC